AGCAGCAGCAGTGGCGGCAGCAGTAGCGGCAGCAGTGGCGGCAGGCCTTTTGGGTTTTTTTTGGACTTGCCACCTGCCTGGCAGATTGTCATTCCTTCTCGACTTTCGGGTGGCCAACAACTCCTTTTGGTGTCGATTAGGATTAGGATTTGGGTGTGAAAGAATCAGCAATTTCACGGTTTTCAGTCTTGGGCTTGCCAACCCTCTTGGTACAACGACCCACGCGTTTTCGGGTTTGAGTCCTTTTCGGGTTTCAAGTCGGGCGTAAGTCTGGTATACAATCGCCTGATGAGGGTCTGTGTTTAAGGAATGTGATCACCCGCCATCGCTCAATGAGGCGGAGGATGTCAGAATCGCGACAAACCTGTCTTATGAGCATGGGCCTAGTGCAAGCCGCCGGGCCTTTCCAATCTTTCACACCTTCGAACTCTCTAAACTTTAATGTCAGAACTCGGCGGAACCTCAAACTTAGCGGGAACTGTCGAAATTTCGAACTTTCAGAACGGTGTCCCGAGCGAGGTCGTTCGAACTCGAAGGTTCGAGAGTGTGAACGCTCAAAGGTTTGAAGTTTGGATTGTTTGGGAGGTGCTTGAGTTCGACAGTTGGGGCACCTTGGCATGCGCAAGCGAGCGGGCGGCAAACTTCAAACGTTTCAAACTAGAAAATTTCAACTTTCAATTCTCGAACTTTCGATATTTCGAGCTCGACTAGCTGCTTCAAGCTCAATTTTCTGGCAGGCCGAAAGATTATAGTTTTAAAGTTCGACAGTATCAATGCTTGAAAGTGCAAACAGTGCAAACGCTTGAACGATCGAAAATTTGGAGTTTGAAAAGTTGGCTTCAGGTTCGGCCCGCGGCTGGCGCCTGAGGTCGAGAGTTTGACAGTTCGAAAGATTTAAACGATTTGGAGTTCGGAAGTTGGATAGTTTGAGCGACATTCGTGAGAGTTTGAGAACTCGAAGGTTTGGAATTTCAACAGTTTGAAGGTTCGAAAAGAATCGAGTTCGAAAGTTTGACGGTCCACCGAGTTTCGAGTTCGAAAATTCAGAGTTCGAACGTTTCAATGTTCGAGATTGCAAAGTTTCAACATGTGAAAGGTCACAGCGGGTGCCAGATTTTAAGCTCGCCCCATCTTCATGTGATGGCGGTAAGCTCATGTCTCAAACCCGACCCTTGTTAGCGTTGGTGCTTGATCTCACATCTTTAATCCCGATTGCAGTTGATTTCCTGTGTCAAAACGCAAACGCAATACTGTCAGTATACGAGTGCGGATGATCCCATATCTTAAACCCGGCCACTCATGAGGCGAGTGGGATGGATCTCATATCTTCAACCCGTCCCCCATTAGGCATGGCGGTCGATCCCATATCTTGAATTCGCCCCCTCACGCAGCGATGGCGATTCAGCTTATATGTCAAGCCCGACCTCTCTTTAAAGACTGGCGCTTGATGAGTAGGATGTGGTGGAGAGTGTTTCTTTATTCTGGCAGTCTGGCACCCTTCACTCCAAACCTAAATGCTCAAGAGACAGACCCTAAACTCCGGATAGTACATACGCAAAACCTCAAATTGCGTACTTTCAATCGGTCAGATCCTTCAATCTTTCAAGGATTTCGTGCTCCGACCTTTCAATCCCTGAAAATATGAAGCATTCGGACTCTCAAGCACCGTGTCCTTTTAACTTTCAGACTTTCGAAGTTTGACGAATTCAAACTTTCATTGTGGCGGCTGCACTCCGAGCACGCTCGAGTATGCTCGGCTATTACGCTCGAGTCGAAACGTTCAGACTCCAGACTCTCGGACTTTCAATCTCACCATCTTTCAAGCTTTCAATCGTTCATTCAATCCCATCGCACGTCCACGTCCGTCGCACGGTACACTCCGCGGCTTCAAACTTTCAAGTTGGATTCCTGTGCAAACGTTAAAACTCCAAACTCGCGCTTGTCTTCAATCTCGAAACTTTAACACGTTCCAACTTGAAACTTTTTGTTTTTTGGTCAGAGACCCCAGTTCGAGTTCGATAAACCCTACTCGTGACACCTGTCAAGCACTTCATGCCATTCACATGGCAAACGTCGAACACTTTCTAGCTGCCAAACTCTCGACTCCAGTGGCGAGCCGCTCGCAGATCTTGGAGCGAAACTTTCAACCTCGAAACCTTCGAATGTTCGATCCTTCGAACTATCGAACTTTCAATCTTTTAGACGGTCGACCTTCGAGCTTTAAAACTCTCGAACTCGCAACTTCCAATATCCTTTCAACTCCAAGTTTTCAATCTTTGAGCGCCGATCGAACTCGACTGCGGCTAGCTTTTGGAGACTGAGTCCTAAGCAGCTAGTCGAGCTCGAAACCTTGAAAGTTCGAAAGTTCCACTGGTTCGAGTCGAAGTTTGACGTCAGCTCACTTGTGCATACCACCGTGCCCAAACCTTCGAACTCTGCCACCATTCCTTACAAATCACAAGAGCTTTCATATCTGCAAACCTTCGAACTCTCGACCTCTCGAACCTTCAAGTTCGATCACCCTTGCTCGAAAATCTTTTTGCCCACGAAATACCGCACCTGCCATCCATTGCACCTTTATGTGTCGTCGTCAGGCAGGTGAGGCGGGCAAACAAGCGGCTTCGGGCGCAGTCATGGTAGTTGTAGCCGCCGTAATCTGTACTCGTCATATCTCGCCATGGCAGTGCTTGTGGTAGTGGCAGCAGCCCGGGGAGGAGTAGTGATGCAGTGATAGAAGCAGAGTGCTCGAAAATAGTGACTAGTGCTAAGGACTTACCTTTGCCGTGCTTGACACTTTCTGTGACTTGGCTGGGGGTATTGGTGCGGTTCCCCCGATTCGACTCCGTTGGGGCACCTGTCGGGATGGATCGAATGAGCGGGTTCACGACAGGACTGGTGTAGACTGGCGCCTGCTTCCGAGTCCAGTCGATCCCTAGCCAGCGACTCCTTTACAGTTCTGCCTACGAACTCAGGTGCTTTGGTAAAGCAGCCATTGCCTGTTGTGTTGGAAAGATTTGGCCGCTCGGCAATGTAGTTTGCGGGATTTGAAGGCCTGAAGCCTCATGTCAGTCCTTGGGATACTGGTTGAGGTGGTTTCTTTGTCCAGCATGTCGCCGAAGAGGGCTACTTGACCTTCTTGAAGTCTTTGGGTGGCAATCTGTTCCAGTTTCTGTCGAACAGCGACTTGGATGCAACATGTCGACGATGATGCACGCAGAGGGAGTGTCGTTTGGCCCACACTGTCAGACAAGGCAGCAGTGCCACTCACTGTCATGCGAACTGCAGAATGTTGGGAGTAGCCCAGCCCTGCCGGAAGAAGGGGAGATGGCAAGGGTTCTCAAGATATCTTTGCGACACTGAGTCAACATTTTGCATCACACCATCGAGCGGGACAGCAAGGCGGCCGCGCAGAGCTTAGCTGAGTCTTCCGATGCAGCTTCTTTACAATTCGTGGTCTTTCAGATTTCAGGAAATTCTCAGCTGCCCTTCCATGTCGGTGAGGTCTTCCCACTGTTTTCGGTGAAGCATCTGGACGGGGATCCGAAGTCGGAGCACCACGTTTTCCTGCTGACCTATGGCGCCTCAGAGTCACAGAGCTGCTGTCATGGTCAGAACTGTTTCGTCCGTACAGTCGCAGCCAGAACACTATGACTTTCTGCAGGCTGAGATTAGTGATAATTCTGATCGCATCCTTGCTCCGCACCAGTTGAAGGAACTGTCAAGGACCCTTCTACATCTATGTGGGATTCGACCAGATCTTATGACAGCCCTGCAATGTTTTGTGCCCCATCAAAGCCACCGAACTCAACAGCCCCACGAGATCTTCTCACCCTTTGTTTCCTGGTGCTGCAGATTTTTAGAAATGCCGATGTCCAGCTTCAGATGCAAAGCTGGTCGCCTGCCAACACGGGCCCCGCTCCACCTGGAAGTCAGGCAGCATGCGGCCGGGGCTGACTCCGTTCCTCACCGGTGTCTTGACCAAGGCCAGTGGTTTGAAGGCTTTGAAGATCAGGCAGCAGCTTCAAAGTGCCTGCCGTGATATGCCTTGGCCTGCCATCGGGCCCCAATGTCAGCTTGTTTCTGATCCCGGAAGCAGGCTGCCTTCCTGCTGTTCAATTGCACCGTGGATATACAGGCCGGTCCGATGTAAAAAACACGTTCTTCTGCCGGAGCCAAGCTTGGGCCCAAGAAGCCGCAAGCTGTTGATGTTTGAAGCCAAGTATGCTCGAATTCGTCCGGTACCGCTTTCGATTAGAGCATTTTGAGGTGCATGACAGCCGTATTCTTGGTTCCAGAAGGGTTGAGGCATGCCGTTTCAGGTTCATGTCGTGCAGACTGTGCACATCACTATAAAGGCAGATCTGTCCAGAAGGCTGCCAGGCAGAATCGGCAGAAGGAGCATCCAGGTCAGCTGGCATCTCATGACTCGACCGTGAAAGCAGTTACAGCAACTTTCCAACTTGAGGATGTGACCGACAGCTTTCCACCGGAGATGGGCAAAGATGTTCTGGTGCAATCATCATTCCGCGTCACTGCCTCGCGTGTCAGCACCTCGCTGGCACATGAACCGTTCTACATCAACCGTGTACCCCAGGCAAGATCTTGTAGGTTCTAGATCAATTTGCAAACACACTGTGGCGAATTGAACAGACTGCCCGAGTGCACTGACGTGGCCGCGATGTCAGGGAGTAGCATGCAGTGTCATTTGAGGTGGCTTTTCCACTTCCGAGACCCAGCCCAAGCGGGGTGACGAGTTTACTTCCACGAGGAGCTCCTTGGATGGTGGCAATAGGACTCAAGGACGTCGCAAGCCTTCCTTGCTCGGCATGTCAGTGTGGGCGCATTCGCAGCAGCTGTGTTAGTTTGGAGGATCACCAAGAGTTGTCTCTAGCAGTTGTCTCCATGCCCGTTGAGCCGATGAAATGAGAAGTTTGGTCCAAGGCTTTTTCGATTTCCACAAGATGCTTTCTGCCATGTGGCGCTGCGATTGCACTGGAGGGAGCCAGGACTGGGCCACTGGGTCGGGGGGTTCTGAGAACTTAGGCCTTGAGCTTCGTCTTGGCTCCTGCACCCCCTCTCAAACAAGCCGAGAACTTGCAAAACCGGGAAAAGCGCCGCAGCCTGCAGATGAAGGAAAAAGGAGTATTCTCGAATAAACTTCTGAACTGAAGTCGCTCGGTCTCTTGCAAAGGAGGGGTTCAATTTGACCCAGCTTGACCGAGTGCCGGTCCAAGGTCCGCCGTGCAACCATGAGTAGCTTTCTTCTGTTGTGGTGCTGGCGCAGGGATTGCCTGCACACCCCATAGAAAAGCAAGCGGACAACACAAAAAAGCATCGTGATTCGAATGAATTGCAAAGTCATGCTGCGGAAGACAAGCGAGGTTTGTACAGAAGAGGCTGACCTCATACGAATGTAACGTAAGCTACTGTATCCGATGTTGACGCCTTGTCTGCAGACATGGAGCCGGAAGTCTGGGCCGTCATCATGGAGAAGCAGGACAAGATAGACGAGATCCTCCGAGCATATGACGGCATTGATGCCATCTGACATAACAGAGGTACCAGGGATTACCAAGGCCTTCGTTCTTGCAACTCATTGGGCAACGAGGAATTGACAGAGAAACACGGACAGGGCTGCTCTTTCATTGTCCGGGGTTGTGTTTCACGACAGTGTTGCAACTGTGTGTGTGTGTTTTCTGGGTTTGCGCATCCTACCCATTCAGAAGCATTGCAAGTAAGACTGAACAAGCTGCATGGGAGTTCGAACACGTTGACACCATGATGGGTTTCCACCACAGATCTTGCTCTTGCTGGAAGTAGTGTTGAGAGGCATTGAGAAACCCGGACCACGTACGTTGCAGTGCTTTGGTCATGGACGTCCGAGGCTGGCGTCAATGTCGTACCACGAATGACTGGAGGAGACAGAATGCGACTGGCCGCGGTGTGACCTGGCTCGAATGCAGTCTCGGCTTTGGCAGGATTGCTGCAATGTCCATCCAGCCCTGTCTCTCTTCCAGGCTATTTCGTGGAATCGCGGCGGGAAGCGTTAGCGCATCATGGACAGCTGCTTGCCAGAAGAGAAAGGCACCACGACTGGGAGCTCAAGGTCTGGTTGTGGTCCATCCAGTGATATATTGGTTTGAACTTTCGAAGCTCCTGTCGATCCAGGCACCGCGGGACCATATAGCTACTAATTACATGGAAGCTGTTCTGAAGGTCTGTCAAATTTCTGCACGCTCTGTCACTTCTGAGTCTGAAGGGGAACCCTCAGCGAAATCCCACCCGCTCAGGAAGCCGCACGACTGCAAGACATGGGTGAGTTCTGGGCCACGAACTCCGTCAGTTTTGGCGACAAGTTCCGTGAGTCCAAGGTGCCTTGGTTGTGGGCTTTGGCGTTGCTGTAGGGCATTTAGGGTTTTTCGTGCCGGTTCTTCTTCGACTCGACGAGTCTTTGAGCCAGAATACTCATTCTGCTCCTTACGTCTACAGTCTACAGCACCGTCACTCGGCGCAGAAGTTTGCCCAAACAAGAGAGCTGCTCTTCTGCGTCTGATCAGACTCGCGGACCCTCCTTCTTTTGCACAGAGTCTGCAATTTGTCGAACAATACGTTGCTCGACGCCGCTCCACCATTCAACAATGCAATGCCGCGATTCGCGATGCAAATCACAGACAATCACTTTGGCATGGCAGGACTGGTTTACCAATGGCCAGGAGAGCATCGCTGCTGATCTGCAGTTTCGGAACCTTGAACTCCTTGCTTTCGGGTTTTGGCCACCCTGAGAGGTTGGAAGGGCCTGCAGGGTCCGCGTCAAGGTGCAAGAGCTACGTCCTTCACATGCTCAGATGCTCGCAAGGTGCGGTACATGCTGTACTAGCAGCCCCTTTCTAGAGTTCTCCATGCTCAAGCTCCGTGCAAAACACGCTTCGGTCGAAGACGGTGCACCAAGGTTGCCGCTCGCAGGACACACGGCGAGATTCTTTTCGTGTCACACTGCTGGAGCGCACCGCGAGAGTGGGCCACTCACCTTCAAACGTCTCAGGGCTCGAAACCTCAGATTCTGGATTCAATGAGGCCCAGCCACCGAGTTCCCAGCTTCCACAACGCGGTGTAGCAGCATCTAATCCGCGCATACCGGCCTAGCGATGAGGCGTGGCCCAACAGCTTTCCCGTTTGGTTGCTGGTGTGGAAGAGCTTTCAGCCCTCGGAGTCTGAAGTCATGGAAGCGGCCCATCGCGAAGTGAACACACTGCTGTGTTAGGGCCACCGGTGAACAATGTGGCACTGGGTTCAGCTGTAGGCTACAATTTGCTGCGTTTTGTTGCGGAGGCTTAGTCACCACTTGGTACAGCGGATTGTTTGGTTGGCTTTGCCCTTTCTGCTAATGGCGAATCCTATTGATATAGTAGAGGATCAGGAACCCAAACCCCCAACCCCTTTAGGGCACCCATACAGGAACCCTAAAGCCGGCTAAGTACTACTGAACTAGTATACTGTACTACTGTACCCACGAAACAGCTATCGCCGTCTGCAGGGCAAGGATGCACCAACTGCACACCCTTCCAAAGAGCTTCGCTTCCAGCACCGTCACACCGCTCTGAAGCGCTAACTGGTAGCAGAATACTTAGGACGCCGAGGAATGGTTGAGGGATGGGGGGCCCCCGCGAAACCCAGTACCACATTATACTGAACTTCTTCAGACTTGTACCATGCTTTGCTGTGGCGATGTCTCCTCGATCGTTGCTTAATCGCTTCATCCGGTCTTTGCTCGAAGATGGTGCAATTCAGCCCTCCCGCCAAGGGCATGGCGACTGCTGGGAAGTCTCCTTACGGGCCGCCCGGCTTTCAGCTTGTGGGCAGCTCTGGAAAGGATTCGGGGAAGCAACCGCTTCAATTCGAGAGTCGGCATGTGTCCTGACCTCTCAAACCGTACGGATGTCGACCTTTGGAAGAAGCCGACTGCTGCAGCCAGTTGCGACCACGTAGGTGTCCAGCCACAGAGGCCATGAGGAGCCTAAATGGGTGTAAATGCTTGTGTTGCACGTCTTGTGGAGCTCAGGCAGGCGAAAGCTGCAGAAACTTGGCATCACCGGAGTGCAGAGCCACCACTCTAGGCCAACCAAAGACTTGGCTTGGGATGATTTCGTGTCAGCCGAGGAGCTCTGCCTGCACGCAAAGCAGGTCGCAGATTCCTTCCAGAGTGGTGATAAAGACTGGAAAAAGGTCGGCTTTTGGATTGACAAGGCCAGTGGCCGTGGGTCAGACCATCCGGACAAGCTTCGTACCGATGCGGACTGCCCGACAAGTAGCTCAGGCTTTTCTGGCTTGGAAGAGAGCCGAGTAGCGTTGAAGGAGTAACCATTTCCTTTGCCCACACGCCACTGGAGACTGAGAGATGAATGCAAAAGCCTGCTATGCATGCCGAGACTGGACTCCCACTCCCGGCTAGGCAAGCCCCTTTCCCTCCACCTCCCTCCCTCTCTCCCTCGCTCGCTCGCTCTCTCTCTCTGTCTCAACGTAGCTTCTCACTGTGAAGGCTTGCATCCCGCAGAGCGATCCTGGGCTAATGTCCTGGTGTGCCGTTGCTGCAACAGTGGGCAAGGTAGAGGAACACGTTGCTTTCCCAATTCACACTGGCTCTTTGCCGATGCGGGGGTTTCCCAGATTCAGGACTCCAATGCTGGGTATAAGTCTGTACGAGACCCGTGCCCCCTTAAGATGTTCGGCCTAACCCCTGCCGTAATCCTGGGAGCTGGCCTCAGGTGTCAATCTTCTGGAGGAGTTTATTGCCTTGTCTGTGCCTGGGCCATGTGATATTTTGCGAGCTGTGTAGTAGCCGCGGTCGTCGAGTCAATCGAGCCGACTCCACATCGCCCAGGATGGCATGGTGGTGCTTGCTTCGTGGAATTACTTCAATCGGCTGCCCGTTTATCATTGCGTGTTAAAAACTATATTAGACGGGCTGAGAGTTCATTCGTTCTTTTCGGTTGATGGGGAGTCGTGTTGATTGGAAACCCCACGCAACTCCTGATTCAGGATAGTAAAAGTCTTGTGGCATGCGGTATCCACAAGAAACTGCTAGAATGTCGTTTGCATACTTAATTTTTTTGGGAGACGGCAGTTCTGCATGCTGCAGTGATGAGTCGCTTCCCTGTAGCTCTACTGGAAGTTTGAAAGCCGTACTTCTTAGTATTGTAATTTCAGCATTACTATCAAGAAGTACTGTAGTCTTGTTAAATTCTGTTTAGAATTAATACTAGCATTATGATGAAAGCCCTACTTGCTCCTAGACTCCCAAACCCCTCTCGGGCCATCCAAAGCCTCTAAAATCCTAGAGGAAGTGAGTACCCGCACCTACTCCAAGGCCCTGGCTAAGAGACCCGACTACGACGCGCCGAGGCTTTGGTGCGTCTACGAATGGGTTTGTGGGCTTCTCATCCATGATGTTATGGAGATCGAAATCCTCGCAGACCCCTTCGTTCGCGATTCTACTGTGGCCGCCTTGTTGCAGTGACAGAGGGGTCGGAACTCTTGGGATTTCGAACTCTGCTCATTCTGCGGAAAAGACATGCTTGGATTGCGGATGTGGCCGCCACGAGCGAGAAAGGCTTCAAGCCCGAGCCTGTGACCGTGTCCTAATGCCCTCCAAGGATCTCTACTTGGAGTGCATTCGGAACTTTAGCATCGCCAGATGCGAGTGTGCAGTGGAGAGCGACCGGCAGACACCTGCACCGCCGTAGCACTCTTCTTTTCCTTTGCGGCTAGTGTTGGAAGGTGTAGTAAGAAACTTATGAGGCGCATTTCCGGCAGGCCCTTGACAGGATCGCATCACAGTAGCCCAACCCGGATGCCGCCGACGTTTAGTTTCGAGCCAAAGTGCGAAAGCATCGAACTGCGATTATGCTTGAAACTCCAGCTGTGGAACAGCAAGATGTCGCTCTTTGGCCCCGGCGCATTCGTTTGGCACATTACAGCCAACGAAGCGGAGCATCAGTTTTTTGCAAGGATGGCATTCAATAGTCATCAACTGTTTTCGTGTTCGTGGGGTGGAAGCTAACTTTAGTAATGAGCTGGTTGGAAGATGAACAGGTCTCGGAAGGTAAGACTGGAACCAAAATCCATCTCGTATGCTGCTTAAGCCACTCTGGTGCTTCTGACGATGTTGCAGGCTGGACTTGTGGATTGAAGGCCGTTGATGTGAGTTCGAACTGATTTTGCTCATGTTGCTACTTTGAGATTAGCTGTCTCCCTACAAGAAGCGTTTCCTTACACATTCCGCTGTGTCAGGTAGGCAGTTCGGGCTGAGGCAGTTCTGGAGTTCCCTTTCGTTGAGTCCCTTTTTTGTCCATGCCCTCGTTCTCTCAGACTCCATCAGGGTGTTTCTGATTCAGTATGTATATGCGCATCCGTCAAAACGTCTGCAAGTGTACTCTAAAGCTTTGGAAGGCCGGATTCGGCCGCACCTTCGAGAAGCCCCCCAAAGGCAATACGAACAATATGGGTCATCTGTTATGAATGCTAATTGCTGCCGCGTCAGTGCCTAAACTTTCCGTGTGATACTTGGCAAGGCAAACGACACCCTAGTCGAGACCAATCGATACCCCTAATCGTAGCCCACCAGATCGTTTGGTGAGCCACTGCCGATGTTGATGGAATCGCAGTGCCCACTGCTCTCACTACTATTACCACGATTGCTACCATGACTGCTAGCTGAATGTCGCAAGAGTAAATCGACACCTCACATCAAAATTTCGCCAGACCCATATAAAGCGATAGGAGACCACCAAATCATCCATGGGTAGGCCACAAGAAGTACTTACCGGCCCCAGAAGTGCGCGAGTCGCGTTTACGTTTCATGTGCCTGAAACGTGCGGACAATTAAATGACTGGTACGTAGCACCTGGACAGCAGACTAAACGATTTGGGAGAACCAGTCAGGTTCTTCGAAGAGGACCAACAAACTACACCAGGATACATCGGCTGGACTCTTTGGCACCGGGACGAAACCTGAAGGATTTCAAAATGCAATCGGTAAGTAGGCAGGTAAGGTTAACCATGCAATAAAGCAAGTTCTACCAGCCTAGCTACACGAAGTCGATTTCGATTTAAATGTCAGCGACTCAGCCGTTTCTGGACAGCCACGATAGGTTACATCGCACTGTTGAAAACCGCCCTTCCTTTCGTTCAGAGAAAAATGGTCCTTCAAAGCTTCCTTGCTCTTTTGCAAACTGTTGTGCAGCCATTCCTCAAAGCGCGTGTCGTGGCACAACACCTGGTTCTGCAGCTTTGCAAGGATCTTGATCGACAAGGTCAACACCTACTACAAGTGGTGCAGCTGCATCTAGCCATGCGCGGCATGATGTTGGTCCGCGACTTGTAGCATGGTATCAGTAAAGGTGTGCTCAAAGTGCGCATGTTCTGCATCATTGTGCCAGATTGAAGGTTGCGTTCGGGTCATACTCAAAGACTGATGGTTGAGTTCTGCCGGAGTTTCAACAAAGCCACAGGGGAGGGACTCCAGTGGAGGGTTGCAGTGGCCGGAAAAGCTTCGTACGTACAAGTAACAGTCATGGCCGCACATGCTCTGGCGCCGGAGATGTTTGCTTCAGCACGACAGAACCTAGAAGTGACAGCTGTATTTCATGTATGTAGTAGTAGCAACCAGCTTTTCTGGTATGCTGGGCCTTAGTTGTCGACTCGCTGCACGTCTGACCGTGCAGAGACCCTTGGGATAGTCAGAAGATGCGTTACTTGCACGGCTTTTGTTATGAGATGTCTGGAGTTTTGCTGTGCGCAACTGTGCTCTTTGAATGGTTCCCCTAAACCCCAAACCCTAAACCCCTAAACCCTAAACCCCTAAACCCCTAAACCCTGAGGTCTGTGGAAGACTTCGAGAGGTTCTTCCAGTTCACCGTCATCGCCTGCTTCATCCGCTGCATGGCGAGAAGGAGAACCGCGCGAGCGGGAGCCTCGCTCATGCCCTGGCCGCCTGGCAAAAAAAGGTGAACAAATTATAAAGAGGCATTCTATGAGGACGGTATATGTCTGGTTTGCATGTATGATACATCATATATGTATCAATCTATCTGTGTGTGTGTGAGATATATACATATATACATATATATACATATATATATATATGCGCATGTACTCATACATACATACATACATATATATATATACATATATATATATAAGCATAGGGAGCCTTTTCAAACCTGGCCCCCTGAACTGCAAAGCTCTGGTGACCCAAAGCCGCCTTCAGAACATCCCTGCGAAGCAAATCACCTAGTTCGCGGCCAAAGGATCGACCTGGCCACTGCATGTGGCTTTGCAGAGCTGGCTGACAAGGATTGGTGCTGTGGGCCGTGTGTGGGGATGTCCGATTTCACTATCGGGATCTGCAGGCGTCGTGTTGGACGATTTCAGTTGGATTTCGCAGCCTCAGCTTCCCAATCAAAACGGCGGAAAGTTTAAAGCTACAGCTTTGCCGCTCCGCCGCCAGGCCGAAGTATTGAAACAGCAGCTCCAGAGGTGTGCCGGGCTATATGGGTAGTACAGTGGCACAGGACTTCCGACCCGTGCAGCCACAATAATCAAAAGGAAGGTGTAGAAGGCGTGCCTCAGTGACTAGATTCGGATATTCTGCGAGAAGCTGGTCACGAGCAATCTTAGCCAGGTATAGAGTGGAATCCGTCGAGAAGGCGAGAAGCCCTGCAACGCACCAGGGCATGTTTAGAGGTAGGGTCTAGCAATTCATTTCTGCAGGATTGGAGCTACTGTAGAACGTAGCCTTCCGTGTGAGAAGAGGGGCTTTTGCACCCTGGCAAGCGCTAGCCTCCATGCACTTAGAGTGGATCCTTCGCGGGCTTCGGGCAAACTGAAGCTAGACACGCCAAGTTCCTTGGGCCGGCCCGGCTTCCGAGACAGCAAGCTCAATATTCCCTGTCTGCTGCCAGTGTGCCATAAGGTGAGTCTTTGGAAGTCATAAGTCGGGCGGTTCAGACTCAGAACTTTTGAAGCTCAGGCGAGGCACAAGACGTTGCCAGGGTAGCAAGGTATCTAGAGCTGCAGCAGATGGGTATCAAAGCCCAGGCACGAACTCCAAGCAGCAATGAGTCCGGAGCCTAGACGTCTTCCTATCGCTTCCTGCCCCTTGAAAATCAGTCGAGTCAGACGGAGGCGCATGGGGAACTGTTCATGGCATGTCTGTTGCTGTTTTGCAGTCTGTATCATTGAGTCGGTTGGTTTCCGAGGCGTCTGCGTGGATGCGCCCCGGCAATGTAATAACTGCGATACATGTCCAACAGTTTCGAAAATCGTTTTTGATAGTTTGTCCAGCAGGTGACCTGTTGCTGTAACATCTGTGCCGAGGGTGTTTGTCACGGTGAAGGGAGTTTCCTCTTCGGATGTGACCATACCCCATCCCGTCGTGAGCCGAGGACTTCTTCGAAGAAGAAATTCTTCCACTGATTGAGCCGCTTTTCTAAACACCAAATGTGTACAGCTCAGCCTCTTAACAGCCTCAGATGGTCTTTGTGCCGTGGTGCTTCAGCAGTGCGCCTGACAGTAAGAGTTGAAGATTCGCATCAAGTTGCGTGAGAGCCCCCGGACGAGTTCTCTAGTCGTCCTGGCAGATGCGAGTCTCAGGAAGGAGCGTGAAACTGCCGGCAACCACTTGGGCCTCACCTACGCCAAGGGCTTGCAACCTTGCCTGCATGGAGCGAGACTTCGGCGACTGCAGTCTTATCAACTAGGTGAGCCACTGTAGTCTTAGAGGTCGCCTGGCAGCTTCCTCGCAACGGCCTAACGGCGACTTCACCCTGATCTAGGGGCAGAAACATTCAATCTGACTCATTCTGACACTTCGACAGACATCCTGTCCTCGTTGCGCAAGAACCTTGCATTCCGTCGTTTCAGTATCGGTTGGATACTATACTGCAGACCGGGCCCGAACCCAAATTTCCTCTGCATCAACTAGGCAGGAGTTGGCGGAGGACGCAAAGCATCGCAGCTGCCATTACATGTCCGGTTTTACATGTTTTTTATTTGGGAGCTGCGCTCCGATGTTTGGCGTTTCATGTATCCATCGGCTCTATGTGGGGCGAGCTTGACGAAAGTAATGCACCGGCTTGCAGCATTCTTTTGGCAGACAGCCACCAGGCAAAGCAAGCTGCAGTTGGGAGCCTGGGTCAACGAGATTGCAGCTTGGTGCACATGTGGCTCACTGGTTGTCCAATCTTCAGTGAACAGCTTGTCGCAGCACCAACTAGCACTGTCTGTCCACCTTGTGGTTTTCCCGACCTCGTGTTCTCTTGAGAACGTTGGCATCCCCAAACCCTCTGCTGCCAGGCAATGATTGGGCGTGGTGTGCTGGAACGCAAGAACAACCGGGACCACGGGTAGCTGAAAGTGGATTGGGTAGCTGGGTCAGTCCAATAGTAGCAGATGCTTTGTTCTCAAAGCCTTGAAAATCTTGCTTTGATTTCATGACAAATGTCTGTGCTGAAGCCTTCCGGCTTTCGGATGGAGTGCTGCTTCTTAGTCTTGGCAGATGAGTTCGTTGGAAGTCTAGCTGGTGCATCGCTGCGCAGAACCTGTCGTACACGCGCCCAAAGCGAGTCTCTCGGCGGTCCCGTTCTCAGCATGGCAGCGTCACACACAGACATATAGCATGTGCAAAGCCAACCTGGCACTGACTTCAACGCTCTCGACATGAGACATACCGGCTCAACTGACGGGACACCCGCTTCCCAGGGTCCCACCTCCGGCTCCAGCGGGTTCAGCGTCCGTGGCAGATGTGGCATCGACGAACAGGCAGGTTTCTGAATCGGCTTAGAGAGAAAAGAGAATCAGCCTTCTTGTCCTGGCTGACCGACTTATCTCCAGCCGACGTAACACTACATGCGTGCCGGCTGAGTCCAGGGACGGGAACGGCGTAGCCCGAACACGGGGGAGACTACGGAGAGTGCGACCCTGCAAGTAGGCCTGTTGGCCAGGGGGTTCTCCCTCATACCCCAAGCAAGCTAGCGACCGAGCGAGCAAGCAAGATAGAGAGTGTGAGTGAGTGCATGCGGGCGGACGGGCGGGCGTGGGTGAGTGAGTGAGTGATTGAGTGCGTGGGTGAGTGTGCAAACTTACAGTAAACAATTCAGACAGCTGTGACCAACCGAGGTCAATCAAACCAATCACGCATTCCTTTATGCGACCAAGCCAGGCATGCCCAGTCTTGAGCCAAATGCCATTCGGCAGTGTAGCATTCGATAATGCATCAGGGTCATTCTAGAGCATTCTACGGAGGTGTCATTTAGCACAGTCCCTAGGTTCTGACTTTGGTCAAGAACCATTCAAACATTCACACATCATCCACAAGTGCATGGCAACATTCGCGAAGTGATCAAAGGACATTAAGAACAGTGGCAATCAAAGTTGCGAAAACGCAGTCGCTTCATTCTGGTCATTTTGGCTCGACTCAGGAAAGACATTCAAGGCAGACGGAGGCCTGGTTTTGCAAGAAATCCACAGAAGAAAATCCATGCAACATTTCAACATAAACTTCACATGTGCAAGACAATTGCAGTCGAAGGGGGGGGTTCCTAAGAAAATCATTCGCCTGCTCAGCGCGATCTCACTTCACAATGCCCTTGGCATTCTTCCGAATGACAATTTCCGCGCCGGGCTCGAGAGCGTTCGCGGTCTGGGCAATCGCCAGCACATTGGCCGGGGTGCGATCATTCGTGCCCTTCGCCTTGGTTGGATCACTGCAGGCATTGGTGGCATTCTCCTCATCTTCATAGATCTCATCCCAGGTGGAACAGTCGTGCTCCAGTCCACCATCAATCGCCTGACTGAGGGGCACCATTGTGTCTCGCATCAGTCGCAACTCCACAAAAGTGCGGCCAGTCGTGGTGGCAAACATGCCCCATTCCACGATCTCATCCAGGCAGGGAAGGACGACCCGTTGACGAAAGTGAAGGCTCATTCACCGTCCATCGCCATTGGTGATCGCCAGTGCAGTCCCATTCGTGGGTGCGAATATGATCTGTGAATTGTCGATTGAAATCATTCGACAATTTCATTCGGGAGGTAGTGGAGGCTCCAGTCCCACAGCTCCTGTCCACTTCCTCACTGCGTCCGGCTTCGAGCGCCGGAACACAATGAAGGCGTTGGGATACGCATTCTCATTCTCATCAGACACACCTTGGTTTGCCCATTGCACAGTCTTCCGCAGTGCTGACAGTGCATTGAAAGAACCAGTCAGCTGATGGCAAGGAAATCGGCTCAAATCCAGCCATCCATTGCTGAACAGATTCAGTGGTGGCAAGCACAGGGGGTCGCAGTCTCTCCGCCCTGGTCATTGTAATCCAGCTGGACTCAATCATCCAGTTGTTCAGTCCACTGTCCACGCCACTGATCCCCTGCGGGGACATCTCATCCTCAGTGAGCTTGCCGGGCCATTGCTGTCCTTTTCCGGGTGATCAAGTCTGCACGCAGTCAATCCGCCGGCTCTTGTGCCAGGCAGCAATTGACAGCAGCGGCGCAGTCACCTCATCCCATTCTCGACGGTACAACGTGTCAGCCAGTCCAATCTGGGCTTTGACAAGTCGATCGGCGAGGTCCATCGCCCTCTCAATCACATTCTCGCGATCACTCTGGACCACAGTCGTGATGAAGCGGTCCAGTTCATTCCAGACCCGAGTGATCTCAGGTCCAATATCCATTGCAGTCACTTCAACGCTCACAGGCCCATTCCTGCTGAGCTTGTGCTGAACCATTGGCTCCTCAATCAAATGTCGTGCCTCCCAGGGCACAGCATTCGGTGCAGCATTCGCGGCAGAGGCTGCCGGGCTCATACGGCACGGTGCTCCCAGTGCCAGTGATGCCCAGAGCGGCATCAGTCTTCACCCGCCAGAGGCCTTGCCATTCTCCGCCAGCTGCAGATCGGCATTCTGACCCGGGCGAACAAAGGATTCGCCCGGATCATCCCAGTCAGGTGCATTGCAACC